GCTGCTGCTCTGCTGCAGCTGCAACACCAGCAGCAACAGCTGCTGCTGCAGCGGCTGCTGCTGCTGCTGCTGCAGCAACAGCAGCAGCAGCAAATGGAATTTTTTTTTAATTATGTTTTTTATTTATTGCTGAGCTGCATGTACACCTGAAGCTGCTGCTGACCCTAGTCTCCATCGACCGTGCACACAGGGAGAGCAGCAGCAGCAGCAGCAGCAGCAGCAGCAGCAGCAGCAGTATAGCAGCAGCAGCAGCAGCAGCAACTGCTGCTGCTGCTCGACTGCAGCGACAACTAGAGCAGCAAATATATCAGACACTGCAGAGCCAACGGAGAAATTCTCAACACCCGGCAGCAGCAGCAGCAGCAGCAGCAGCAGCAGCAGCAGCAGCAGCAGCAGCGGCGAGATTGAGTCTGCAGCAACAACTGCAGCAGCAAAACCCAATTCGTCAGCAGCAACTGCAGCAGCAGCAGCAGCAGCAGCAGCAGCAATGGGGGGATCCCGAACGTTCCCAGGGGGAGAAGAGGCGGCTGTGTCTTCGCTGCCTACGCTGCGCTTGAAGCTACCACTGGACAGCAGCAGCAGCAGCAGCAGCAGCAGCAGCAGCAGCAGCAGCAACAGCAGCAGCAGCAGCACCAACACCATGAAGTCTGCTGGCCCTGGCGGAGCAGCCAGCGCTAGCGGCAGCAGCACGAAGCTAAAGAGCAGCTACCCTGCTACCAGCAGCAGCAGCAGCAGCAGCAGCAGTAGCAAGAGCAGCAGCAGCAGCAGCAGCAGCATCAACAACAATGTCAGCAGGAACGGTAGCGGCAGCAAAGATATGTGCAGCAGCAGCAGCAGCAGCAGCAGCAACAGCAGCACGCCCACCAGCAGCAGCACGCCCACTACCACCAGCAGCAGCATCACACCCACCAGCAGCAGCAGCAGCAGCACACCCACCAGCAACAGCGGCAGCAGCAGAAACACACCCAGCAGCAGCAGCAGCAGCAGCAGCAGCAGCAGCAGCAGCATGACTCGCATGAGAGACAACTACAATAGCCTACCAAGCAGCACAAACAGCCCAACAACAGCAGCAACCAGCAGCAGCAGCAGCAGCAGCAGAACACCAAGCAGCAGCAGCAGCAGCAGCAGCAGCACACCAAGCAGCAGCAGCAGCAGCAGCAGCAGCACACCAAGCAGCAGCAGCAGCAGCAGCAGACGGGTGGGTGTTCGAGGGGGCCTGCTGCTGCAGCAGCCAGCAGCAGGAAGCAGAACAGAGACAGAAGTGAGCCCGCATGCAAGCAGCAGTCTGCTGCTGCGGCAGCAGCAACCCACCCCCATACTTCGGCTGTCTGTACACCCCCGCACGGGGGCTGTATCGAGAAACCACCAACCCCAGGGTAACAAACCCTAAACCCTAATCCTAAACCCTAAACCCTAAACCCTAATTGCCCTATTCCGCCTCTAGATACTGCAACACAACCCTAAACCCTCGAGGGTTTAGGGTTTAGGGTTTAGGGTTTGTGTGTTCGCAGGTTTGTCGCCGCGCACTTCCTTCAACCTCGCCCCAGCTCGACTCCACCTCAGCAGCAGCAGCAGCAGCAGCAGCAGCAGCAGCAGCAGCAACAGCAGCAGCAGCAGCAGCAGCACGGTGTATATACAGCATGAAGGGTACCGCGAGCAGCTGGAGACAGCCGAAAACGGGAATCTGCGTTGGGGGCAAAAAGAAGCAAACGACGGCAGCTGGGTGGAGAAGTGGGCTGTACAGACACTGCAGCAGCAGCAGCAGCAGCAGCAGCAGCAGCAGCAGCAGCAGCAGCAGCAGCAGCAGCAG